AAACCTTAAGATTCTTTAGCTCAGTATAATAGAAATATTTAAAGTAAGTAATTTTACTTAAATGTTGGAGCATCACTTTATTTCCGATTTAACAATTCAATGTTTTGGATAAATGAATAGAGAGTTGATGAGGGAATAAAAAATACTGTTAATTTTTACACAGTTATTTCCCAAAGAATATTACAAATTTATTTTTTTCTGCTAGAGATTGAGTTCATGGTCTCATACATGCTAGGCAAAGTGCTTTACTTAAGCTACATTTTGATCCAATAATTTTTTTTCTTTTTAAAAGGAAGATAACAGATATAAAGTACACTGTTGTTTGCCATTGGTTCAGGATAGGAAAAAAATAGGGAGTTAACTGCTAATGGAGTCAGGGTTTCTTTCTTGGACCATGAAAATATGATATACAACTGTTCTATAATTAGATTTTGGTGATGGTTTTGCATAATAAAAACCAGTGACTTGTACATTTACAAGGATGAATTTTATGGTGGTTAGTTACACCAGTTTTATGGTGGTCAGTATTTAATAAAAACAAAACTAAGCAAACTAACTCTGCATTTAGTACAACAGGACTTTCGTCTATATAAAGATGCTGTGAACTGTTCTGGGTTTATTTTTTGCCTCCATGCATCAAACCATTGAGGTATAGGCCCAGCCCCTGCTAGCTTGCTTGTTTGCTTTCTCTTTTCCTATTTTGTCCCTTGCTTTTGTACTGGTGATTGAATCCAAGGGCCTAGCACTCAGTGAGCTACATCTCCAGCCCTTTTTTTTTTTAGTTTTTAGTTTTTATTTTGAGAAAAAGTCCTGCTAAATTTCCTAGTCTGGGTTTTAATTTGTGATACTCCTTCTTCAGCCTCCCAGAGTGATGTGATTATAGGTGTGTGCTCATTTTCTGTAAATGAAACGTCAATTTAACAAGTAAAATAACAAAAGGATACAAAGGTGGTATTGTTACAGGTATTCCAAGTGTTCCAAGTATTGTGTTAAAAATGAACTGGTTAGAAAAAAAGAGGAAAGAAAAATGCAAAAACTTCAGTGGAAGTTATATTTGGTTAGTGTGTTTACAGATGTATCATATTGGGGCTTCAAGACTACCTCCAAGTTTGGTGAATTAATATAATGCATCAGCAGGTTTCAGCGTATACATAGTATTCCCTTTAAGATTTATTACAATGAAAAGACAGTATCAGCAAAGGGAAAAGTTGTACGAGTATAGTCTAGATGAGCTAGTGCAGTCTCCAAGAGTCCTTTTCCATTGGAATCATGCTCAATATTCTTAAATCATCCAATAAGGAGAAGGTGGGAAAAAAAAAAGAAGGCAAGACAACAGATATATATGGTTGTTCTACCATACTGGGGAAATTCTTCTGAGTGTATATGTATGGTGTTAGTCATGAAATTTACCTGCAGTTTAGGCTTCCAAAATGAAACAGTCCCAAAAGGTTTAATCACATTGTGCTAATAGTTCAAAGCACAGAAGACCAGCCTCATGAGGTAGGCCCATGGAATGGCAAGTCACAGTTCTGCCCTTTTTAACTCTATTCTGCTTGCAAGTGATCTATTATTTGTGTACTTTTTCCATTTATACTCATGTTTGAAAGGGATCGCTTTTTATTTGTTTTATCACTTATCATTCTATTAAAGAAGTTATTCCTAGACTTTAAAAAAAATTCCTTTTGCTGGACGTGGTAGCACATGCCTATAATTGCAGCATTTGTGAGGCTGAGGTGGGAGGAGAGCTGTGAGTTTGAGGCCAGTCTGGGCTACATAATAAAATCAAGGCCAGTTTGAGCTGTGTAGCAAGACTATGCCTTAAAAAAACAACCAATCCCTCCCCATGAACACTACCTTTAGTAAAAACGGTGTTATAATAATTTCTTTTTTTTTGGTACTGGGAATTGAACTCAGGTCCTTGTGCTTGTGAGGCAGGCAGCGAAACTGACCATTTTTAATTACTTGTAAGGACCAGTATTTTCTATTTATTTTGTACAGGTCTACCAAAGAACAACAACAAAAATCAGAGCAACTTTTAATTTTTTCTCTCCTAAATGATACTGGGTTCTGGGTTGCTTCCTTGTCCTATGAAGTTAGATTTTAGGTTCTTTTCTCAGACAGAGAATTGAACAAAAATTTCAGTACACCTATAAATGAAAGTGAAATGAAAAAGATGGGTGAATGGGGCAGAAGGTGTAGCTCAGTGGTAGAGCACTTGCCTAGAATGTGAGTCTTTGGGTTTGATTCTTCATCAGTGTAAAAAAAAAAAAGTTTTTTTTTTTTGTTGTTGTTTTTTGAGACAGGGTCTCACTATGTAATTGAGACGACCTGGAGCTTACCATGTAGCCCAGGCTGGTCTCGAACTCACAGTGATCCTTCTGCCTCAACCTCTGGAGTGCTGGGATTACAGGCGTGCGCCACCACGCCCAGCTTTTTAGTATAAAAATTTAAAAATCATTATATTAAAAGATAAGTGAGCAAATGGACAAAGGGAGACTATAGGAGTGGTGAAATCATAAATTTTCAACATATTAGAATATGTCCCAGTATACAAAAATAAGGTGGTACTGTAAGTACTTTCCTTGCAAATTACACATGCTCATGTTCTTCAGTCTTTTTGTACTGTACAATGTGATGAAGGTGGTTGTAACAACTTTGCCCACTTGTTAATGTGCTTGTTTATTTGTAGATTAGACTGGGTCTTATATAGACTGTGTTAGCCTGGAATTTGCTGTGTAGCCCATGCTGGCCTGGGACTCATGATTTTCCTGACTTAGCCTCCCTAGTGCTGGAACTACAGGCATGCACCACCACACTGGGCTACATGTGTCTCTTCAGAAATAGACTTGCAGGAACAGTGATACAGAGAGAGGCAGGGGAAAATGTAAATTTATATATATATTTTTTACTTTCCCTCCCCAAAGGCTCTACTTCCCTTCTCTAACATTTAAGAGTTGTCTAGTTATATGTTAAAAGATTAAAATATGTTTGAGCTGGGGATTTTACTCAGTGGTTTGGTGGCCTGCCTCGTAAGCGCAAGGACCCGAGTTCAATCCCCAGTACTAAAAAAAAAAACCCAAAATAAAATATGTTTGAGAGTGCAGAAATGCTCTTTTTTGGGGGGAGAGGGGACAGGATAGTTCAGGTTGGCCTTGAACTCATTGTGTAGCATAGACAGGGCTCAAATTTGCAGTGATTCTCTTGCCTCAACCTTCCAAATGTTGGGATTACAGGTGTGTGCTACCACACCTGGCCAGAGACAGTTTCCTGTTAAATTTATCATTTCCCTTGGCTGTATGTTGGTGTGTTTTGTTTTTGCTTTGTTTTATTGAGACGGGGTCTCATTGTGTAGACTGGCTGGCTCTCCTGCTTCAGACTCCCCAGTGCTGAGATTATAGGTGTGCGCCACTACCCCTGGCATCTTGGTATCATATTTTTAATCTTGTTATTTCCGAGTAAGAGTAATTAAGTTGTTCTGGGAGGCAAGTGATTTGCTTATGCTTAGTATGCTTCCTTTGTTGTTGTTGTTGTTGTTGCCAGCAGTTGAACTCAGGACCTTGCTCTTGCGAGGCAGGCAGCAGCACCACTGAGCTAAAATCCCCAGCCCTATGTTTATTTTTTTGGTACTTTTTTTCTTAATTTTCTTTGAGGGGCAGGGTTGGTCTTGTGTTATTGAACAGATACCCTCTTTCTGTCTTTGTTGATCTTTGCTCATGTGTAGCTCTCTTTATCTGGTCCTATTACCATTCTGATGTTTGTTGTCCTGCCCTGGCTTCCAATGGGTGAGTGATCCCTATGCTGTATTATCTTCATTTTGGCCCTCAGCATCTGAGAAGTACCAAATCCCCAAGTCATTTCTTTTTGGGTTCTACTCATTTTATCTGAGGTTTGTATAATCATTCTGCTTCCCCACAATAGTCTATCTGGTTTTAATTCTTTTTCTCCCTAAAATGTCTCCACTACCTCAGCAGTAATTTTTAAAAATCATTTTGTATCTTTTCTTCTAGTTAAAAGATCTGTTAATCTCTGGATATTTATGTGGAAAGAGAAGCTTTTGGAGTCCATAATCCATTTCCCCCTTCTATGTCTTCTGAAGCATCACTGTTTTGAATGAAGTATAGATTTTACTGTTGATTATATGATGAAGAGCTGATAGCAAAGAAAATTTTAATATCAGTATATTATCCATTCTATGTACCCCCCCCACCCCGACCTCCACAAACTCTCCCTTCTTCCTGTTTTACTTAGGAAAACTAAAAAAAAAAGGAGGATTTCTAGTCTTGTCTTTCAGCATCTAGGCTTCTCTCTCCCTTGTCTCCCACACTTATTGATTATTCTGTCTCCTGTCTGCCCTCCTCTTGTGCTTGGCTGATACCGTTTAAGTTTCATTTTAGGCTTTAACATTTTTAAGAAAGACTTCCAAACTATATACTAGGAGAGTTGAAGGTGGGCAGAGATGGGTGATTCAGTTGTAGGGAGTGGGAATGATAGACCATATACTTAAAATACAAGTTAGATATGCATTTTTTGTCTTAGGATTTGAACTCAGAGACTCAGGCTTGTCAGGCAGGCACTACATTGCTGAGCCTGTTTTTGTTTTTTGAGACAGGGTCTCACAGAGTTCTTACCTTGAATGTCTTGTGTAGCCTGGGCTGGCCTTGAGCTCTTTGAAATCTTATGTCTCAGTTTTCTGAGTGTTGGGATTATAGGCAAATGTTACCATGCCTGGCATATTGTTTTTATTATACTTTTAAAAAGTTAACTAGAGTTGTCTTACTGGTTTATAATTGACTTGAATACTTCCCTGTTTTTGGTTTTGACATTTACCGATGTCTGGCTCAGCAAATGTTTATTGACTAATTTTATGAGTAATATATTTCTAAGATATTTTTCTCAACTGAGACATTTTCCATGTATTTTTATTGTCAAATGTTAGTAGAACAGTGCTAATTCTAGGCACCATGTTAATACTTGCTAATGCCTTTATGCCTCTTATATAGGACCCCTCGTCCTGTCATTGTGGAGCCTATGGAGCAGTTTGATGATGAAGACGGCTTGCCAGAGAAGCTAATGCAGAAAACTCAGCAATATCATAAGTAAGATTTTTTAATAGAGATGTTTTAGAAATTTGCTATTGGAGTGTTTATTGCATCACATTTGTTAAATATTACTGGATTATAAAGTTTTAAAGTATAGGTAAAACAATTTTGCTTAGAATAATTTCTACTTTCATAATGTACTGTACTTGGCAGAAAAAAATGACATGTAGGTAATGTGGAAATACTCCTTTAGTTATTTTACTTATGTGTATTGTAATTTAAAAGGTTTTCAGTGGGTGTGAGCAGAGAGGTCCTAGTAAGGTGAAAGCGTCTTAGAGATTATAGAAAAATTCCTTTTTTCACCAATTGCCGTTTTAATTTAGTATTATACAAATACATTTACATAGTTGCCTGGGTGTAAATATATTGCTTTTGTAACTAGTCACTTGAGTTCCTCTGTGCCATGCCCTATTGTAGTTGCTGCAGTGCAGTTGCATAAGTGGTTTGATGCATCTGGAATTTAGAAGAGAGATCTCAGCTAAAGTTACCAATGTGCAATAGAAAGCTAAGTTACAAGGCTGAACTTTGAGCCTTGGTATACTTCAGTGTGTTGAAGATGATCAGAAGGTATCCAGAAAGGATACCTTTGAGGGAGCAGAGCAGCCATGAGTAGGGTGAACAGCCAGGAAGTAGGCTGAGTAAGGGAAGAAGGATGAATAGTAAGCAATATGTTGTATTTCATAACCATTTTAATATCTCTTGTAATGCTATTTTTCAATGACTTTTGTTTTCTGTTCATTAAACTTTTTCTTCATTATCTTATCATTACAAATATGAAATACAGTATTCTTTTGGATTCAATAATCAGATAACTACAAAGGTGTTTTTAGAAGTGAAATTTACAATAAAAGCTTTTTTTCTTTTTACCATGTACTGGGGATTGAATCCCCAGGCCTTCACACTTAGCTGTATCCCCATCCATTTTTTTTTTTTTACTTTGATACAGGATCTCATTAAGTTGTTTGGGCTGGGCTGAAACTTGAGATCTTCTTGCTGGAGTTACAGGTGTGCACTTTTTAAAAAAAAAAAAAAATTTGTTGAGCTAAGCATGATGGTGCATGCCTGTAATCCCAGCACTAGAGAGTTGATCAGGAGGATCACTGTGAGTTTGAGGCCAACTTAGTGAGTTCAAGGCCAGCCTCGACTACATAGTGAGACCCTGTCTCACCCCCCCAAAATATCCAAGATGTGTGTGTGTGTGTGTGTGTGTGTGTGTGTGTATTTTTAATATTTAATATATGATGTGCCAGATACTGGGCTGTATACTTGAGGTATAACAGTTGATAGACATAGTTGATGTCCTCATTGAATTTATAATTTAGCAAGGGAAATGTTAAATAACAAGTATAGTAAGTTAGACCTTTATTTTTTGGCTCAGCCAGTTAACTTGGCACACAACAAATAGTAGCTACTTTTATTATTTTAAAAAATAACTGTAATTTTGTTTAACTGAGGACACATTTGAATCATATTTTCTAGAGTCCCTTATGTATAATAGTTGAGTGAAAACCAGGAAAGCCTCACTGGCAGTAGTACTGAGGGGAATACAGTTTGTATCATTAGATTTTGTAGCTTTGAATTGTTTGCTTTGCTTAGGGTAGTTGGGCGTACTTGAGGAATTTCTCAAAGTCAAGCAGTATTGCTGTGAAATGAATCAATCATCTGGCTGCCTGACAAAGAGCCTTGAATAGGATAATTGCTCAATAAATGTTGTTATATTATGTTGCTTTTGTTTACCTTTTAAGCATGCATTTTAATGTATTTTTAATGTAAATTTAGGGAAAGAGAACAGCCACCACGCTTTGCTCAACCTGGGACATTTGAATTTGAGTATGCATCTCGATGGAAGGCTCTTGATGAGATGGAAAAGCAGCAGCGTGAGCAGGTTGATAGAAACATCAGAGAAGCCAAAGAGAAGCTGGAGGCAGAAATGGAAGCAGCTAGGCACGAACACCAGTTAATGCTAATGAGGCAAGGTAAAAAACAGGCTTTCATATAGATGTAGTACGATTTTTTTTTCCTGTTGTGGTTCATGTGTCTGATACGTATTACTACTAATTTAGGAATTTAGAGACAAAGTCAGAACTCAGCATATTAGAAATAACATCTCCCCTTTCTGAGATAACTGTAAAAAAAACATGAACTCATTACATGTTGAATATATATTAACCTGTAATACGAGTTGAATATCAAGTACAGGTTGAATGTCAAAAATGCTTGGGACCAGAAGTGTTTCAGAATTTGAAATTTGGGATTTCAGTTTTTTGGATCCAGGTTGTTCACTCATACATTTTACCTATATAAGTACTATTATTAGAGGTAATTCAAGATGTTATGTTTTGCCTATAGGAAATATGTGATTCTTCTAATGAAAAGCAACTGGACAATTTTTTTTGTTTGTTTGTTTGTTTTTTGTTTTTTTGAGACAGGGTCTCACTACGTAGTTGAGACTGACCTGGAACTCATTAGCCCAGGCTGGTCTGGAACTCACAGTGATCCTCCTGCCTCAGCCTCCCGAGTGGTGGGATTACAGGCATGTGCCACCATGTCCGGCTCAACTGGACAATTTTTGATTGGGGTTGCGGTGGCATAAAACCATATATCAAGATTTTATTTTTTGGAAAGAACAATTGGGACAGGTATTGGCTATTAAAGGTTATTACTATGCACTGTGAGTGTACACATGGATAATTTGGTAGATATGAAAAAAATGTGTACAGATGGATATGGGGATTTAGAAAGAATAAGGTAGTAATAATCAAGATCATTTGAAACACTTGATCTCAGAACTCATTTCTGACCTTTCCTGGGCTTTTTTTTTTTGTACTGGGGATCAAACTGAGGACCTTGTGCTTGCAAGGTAGGCGCAGTACCACTGAGCTAAATCCCTGGCCCTTTTCCAGCTTTTTATACCTATCTATCTTTATTACTTGTTGCTATCACTGATCTTTTCCATTGTGTGATAGTTTTTTCTTTAAAATAATCATCTAAATACTGTGCCAGTTTCATGTCTGTGCACATGCATATGCACTGGGATGTAACCCAGGGCCTTGGTATGCTAGGCAAGGGCTCTACCACTGAGCTCTACCCTTAGCCCTGCTTCGTACTTCACCCTTAAGTGTTTTGTTTTTTAAAATTAGCATTTCAGTAAATATTTATCTTCTCAGCTTTCTCTAGAGATGAGAGCGCCACAGATTCCTGCCTGGGTTTCTACAGTAGCTTTCTGATGTTGGCCTTCTCTAAACTATTCTGTGTTCTAGTGCGACTGTTTTTATTTTTATTTATTTTGGTACTGGGGATCAAGCTCTGGACCTTCAGCTTGCAAGGCAGGTGGCGGAACCACTGAGCTAAATCCCCAGCCCCAGAACTACTATTTTTAAATCTTTATGTTATATTCTTCTTTCTTTAAAGATGAAGTATAGGTTTTTTTTCTTTCTCTTTTTTTTAAGAGACTGAGTTTATATAAACTGTTGATCCCCCTCCACCACCACAGGGTCTCATTGTGTAGCCCAGGTTGGCCTCAGACTCCTTTGTGATCCTCCTGCCTTTTGAATGCTAGGATTACAGGCGTGTGCTGACATGCTTGGCTACCAAGGGTTTTATTTTTGTTTTTATAACACAGGATCTTGCTAAGTAGTCCAGACTGACCTTGAACTTGTGATTCTCCTGGTTTATCCTTCCAAGTCCTGGGATTACTGGTACCACACACTTGCTTGTCTGTCTCTCCTTCTCTTCCCCCTTTTCCTTCTCCCCCCCGCTTCTCTTTTCTTTTCTTTTGACAGGGTCTCACTAGGTAGTTCAGGTGGGCCTTGAACTCACAGCAATCCTCCTGCCTCAGCCTCCTGAGTGTTGGGATTATAGGCATGTGCCACCATGCTTTATAATTGATTAAAAATCTTCTAGTGTCTTCTAATGTTGTTTTTATGGAGGATTCTGAAGTAATCTTGAATTTAAATCATACTTGCTATATTCTGTCTTTCTGTGTTTGTATTAAAAACATATTTTGGAGCCGGGCGTGGTGGCCCACACCTGTAATTAATCCCAGCACTCGGGAGACTGAGGTAGGAGGATCACTGTGAGTTCGAGACCAGCCTGGACTACATAGTGAGTTCCAGGTCAGTCTCAACTATATAGTGAGACCCTGTCTGAAACAAAACAAAACAAAACAAAACAAAACATATATCTCTCTCATAGGGCCGGGAATTTAGCTCAGTGGTGCCTCCACCTGCTCCACAAGCTCAAGGTCCCGAGTTCAATCCCCAGTACCCCCCAAAAAAAACTTCGTGTAGACTAATATTTCATCTTTTTTCTTGACTAGATAAATCTGTGTATTGAAAACATTTTTTCTAGAAATAATTGGTAGGTAAGAAAGTATATATTCAGTTTTTATGACATGCATAATATTAAAGAAAATAGTTCATTACAGTCTAGCAAATCAAACTTTAATGTGTTTAAATGAATTATAATTCCAAATTATAGCATGTCATTTGTTAGATAAGTATTTAAAATATTGCTATAGAAATAGTGCTGTAGCTGATGTCTTCACGTATGCCTTTGGATTAGTCTTAAAATTTTGTTGGTGTGATTTTCTAGATCAAAGAATAAAAACATGCCTCTAGTCAAGGTAGTCCCTATTTATCTGAGGGAAGCCTGAAACCAGGGATAGTAGTTAACAAATCCTATATATGACATGTGACTGAAAACCATGGAGAAAGTATAAATAAAAATATCACATTAAGAGACATTTTAGTATTAATCCCACTTGATATTTCTTCTTGGTTCAGACATGTCCATTGTTCTTGCCACTTTCTGAAGCAGTCCTGGAAGTCCTCTTTCATGAATCTGTTTTAGGAGGTGTGATCAAAAGTACAGTGAGTGCTGCTGCTGAGCACAATCCAAGGATAGGCAAACTTTTAAAAATGTTACACTATGTCCTCATGCATTATATTCATCTGATCTGGCACATGTAACTTCTGGCTTTTCCTCAAAGTCAAAATGTCCATGAAAGGTAAACATTTTGAATCAGTTAAGGATATTAGGAATCACCAGGGTTCTGGCTTTGGCCCATATATCACAGTAAACCCTTCTGGGTTTACACACTGGTCCCACAGTGTGTATTTTTATTTTTAAAGTTTCCTAGAGTCTAATCAATTGGGGATATATTTCAGAAATATGTAGCTGTGAAACAGATTTATCTTTGTATTCCTATTGAACTTTGTAATAGCTGGATAGCTAGGGTGCATTTATAATCTACTTGATCTTTATTCCCTTGGTGTATTTTCTATGTAGTTCAGGCTATTTCTAATGTTTACTTTGTTAGGGATTTGAGACAGTTTATGCTTGTTTTAGGTATTTCAGATAACTTGAAAATGATAATAAAAAAACAATAATTGTGCATTCAGAGCATTTTAATACTGTAATATATTTAAATATATGTACATATAATTTTATGATATTCCAGACCTTTTTGTCACATGCACAATTTGTATGCTACTTGGTTGTTTTTTTTTTTGTACTGGGGATCAAACTCGGGCCCTTTGACGCTTGTGAGGCAGGTTGCAAAACCACTGAGCCAAATTCCTGGCCCTGTGTACTACTTCTTAGATGTGCAGTACACATGTACTTTTATCTCCGTCTGGAATCCCAGTTTTTTGTTTTTGTGGTGCTGGGTATTGAATGCCTATCCTTGTGCCTGTTAAATACCTGCTCTGTCACTGAGGTATATCTCCTTTTTGATATGGCAGAAATTGATTATAGTGGGAATGTGTTTTTGGAGGTTTAAAGCAGTCTTGTTAACATTGAGGGTGGGATGTTGTTTGGGTTTTAATATAGTGATCTGTTTTGTTATTCCTGTTTTGTTTTTCTTTTTTTGAGACAGGGTCTCACTTTGTAGTTGAGACTGGCCCTGATCTCTCTGCAAGCTCCTATCTCAGGTTCTGAATACTGAATTACAGGAGTACACCACCATGCCTGGCTTAAATGCCCTTTGCTGGTTTTCCCAACACATTTTTTTAGACTTTGTGTTTCCTGCTGGAAAAAATTGTAATTTAAGGTTATAAATGAAAATGTGTTAATACAGTTATCATTTATTTTGTTTTTAATATGCTCCAGACTTTATTTCAAAAATTACTATCTATTTTATGTTCTAACCATAAAGATGAATTTTCTTACTCTGTAGACATGAAGGGACATGCCCAGAAAGGATATTAGTTTGATGAATTACCTACCTTAAAATCTTCATTGAAAAAGATTAGCAGAGGGCTGGTGCCTCCATGTGCCTCACAAGCGCAAGGTCCCAAGTTTGATCCCTGGTACCAAAAAAAAAAGGAGAGAAAGAAGGAAAGAAAAAGATTAACAGAGCAAAGGAGGAGTTAGGTGATGAGTATGAATAAGTTACTAAATATGTTGTTAGGAATACAGAATTTGTGATATAAAAGCAGAAGGAAATTAAAGATAATAATGTACAATCAATATTTTTAGATCTAATGAGACGTCAGGAAGAACTAAGACGCTTGGAAGAACTCAGAAACCAAGAGCTACAAAAACGGAAGCAAATACAACTTAGGTAAGAGAACATTATCATATTATAAACATGAATGTATACGTGCATGTGTAGAGTTTTCATTGTGTGTGTGTGTGTGTGTGTGTGTGTGTGTGTGTGTGTGTGTGTGTGTGTGTGTGTGTGTGTGTGTGTGTGT